CCATGAAATCCCTGGGACATACAGTGTTAAAGCTGTCCATCAAATGCCTGATAGCCATCCACTTCAATCAGGGACCAAGGAGGACATTGTCAAGCAGTACCCATCACTTTTTCAAGGCCTTGGCAAATTGGAGGGTGAGCATACAATTCAATTGAAGGAAGGGGCCACACCCTTTTGTTTGACCACTCCCAGGCGAGTACCACTGCCACTAATGAAGCAAGTGCAAGAGGAGATCAAGCGTATGGAACAACTGGACGTTATTGAACCAGTGGATGAGCCGACAGAATGGTGTTCACCGATTGTGGTAGTGCCAAAGGCCGATGGCAGGGTGCGGATATGTGTTGATCTTACCAGGCTTAACCAAGCGGTCCGCCAAGAAGTCTATCAAATGCCAACAGTTGAAGAGACCCTGAAAAGCCTAACAGAAGGCTCAGTATTCTCCAAACTTGATGCCAACTCAGGGTTTCATCAGATAGTCCTAAACCCAGAAAGTGCCAAGCTAACTACCTTTATCACGCCCTTCGGCCGTTACATGTTCAAGCGTCTTCCCTTCGGCATATCCTCAGCCCCAGAACATTTCCAAAAGAGGATGGACAAAGAACTCTCTGGAATAGAAGGGGTCAAGTGCCGCATGGATGATACTCTAATCATCGGGAAAGACCAAGCGGAACATGACAAACGACTTAAGCAAGTCCTTGACAGGCTAGTCGAGAGGAAACTAACACTCAACCTTGAGAAGTGTTTATTTTCTCAATCCAGGTTGCAATACTTGGGCCAAATCATTGACAGTGATGGAATCAGGAAAGACCCCTCCAAGATCAAAGCCATCACCGACATGGCAGAACCCCAGAACATTGCAGACCTGAGACGTTTCCTGGGTTTGGTCAACCACCTTATGAAGTTTTGCCCAAATCTGGCTGAGAAGACGAAACCCTTAAGAGACTTGCTCAAGAAGGAGAGCGCGTGGGTGTGGGGCACAGCCCAACAAGAAGCCTTCCGACAGCTGAAAGTAGACATGGCATCCGACCAAGTTCTTGCACTGTACGATCCAGAGAAGGAGACCGTGGTCTCATCTGATGCCAGCAGTTTTGGACTTGGTGCGGTCCTCGTGCAGAAGCAGCCGTCCGGTGAAATGAGGCCAGTGGCCTATGCTAGCAGATCAATGACCGAGACAGAGCGTCGTTATGCCCAGATCGAAAAAGAGGCCTTGGCTATCACATGGGCACTTGAACACTGGGCTGAATTCTTGATCGGAATGAGATTTAAAGTGGAAACCGATCACAAGCCATTGATTCCATTGTTTTCCACAAAGCTGATTGACGAGCTACCAGTACGCATACAACGCTTCAGGATGAGACTCATGAGATTTGACTTTGCCATCGCACATGTTCCTGGTAAACTCTTGTACACAGCTGATTCATTGTCTCGATCCCCCCCAGGAGGGTAAAGCCCAGGAGCCTAAGTCATGGAACGACCTACATGACGAAGTCGAGTGCTATGTGAATGCTGTATTGGTAACCCTACCTGCCTCCGACCAGCGGTTAGATGAGATACGTTCTGAGTTGAAGAGTGATGACACACTTAAAACTGTGATGCAGTATGTGCAGAATGGATGGCCTGAAGAGAAACGAAGAGTCCACGGGCCAATAGCTAAATACTGGAGTGAACGTGGCAACATCTCCCTCCACGACGGCCTGCTCCTGAGAGGACGGCGACTCATTATTCCTCCGAGGCTGAGGGCAGATGTATTAAGGCGTCTTCATGATGGTCATCAAGGAATTACCAAAACACGTGCAAATGCGGCCTCCTCAGTGTGGTGGCCTGGAATCTCCCAAGACATCACAAGAGTCGTGCAGAACTGCGCCATGTGCGAGAAATATCGCAGAGAACGCATTGAGCCAATGAAAGGTACTGAGTTTCCAGAACGACCGTGGAGCAGAGTTGGCGTAGACTTCTTTCAGCACAAGGATAAACATTACCTCCTAGCCGTAGATTACTTTTCAAGAAATGTAGAGATAAGTCAAGTGTCCAAGAATGTAAACTCTGCCCAGACTATCCTGCAACTTAAGAGAATCTTCAGTCGACATGGGATTCCAGACATCTTATTTAGCGACAATGGCCCCCAGTTTGATTCACACGAGTTCACTAACTTTTCCACAGACTGGCAGTTTCAACATCGTCTCCAAGATACCCCCAGTCCAACGGTGAAGTGGAAAGGGCGGTCCAAACCATGAAGGCGGTCTTGAATAAGAGTAATGACGAATACTTGGCTCTCCTGAATTACAGAGATACTCCATTGCACCACGGTTACTCTCCAGCACAATTGAGCATGGGTCGGAAACTTCGTACAAGAGTCCCCTGTCACCCGGAGGAGCTAAAGCCAGAGACCCCAGACCGTGATCACATCAGAAGGAAAGAGAAGGAGTACCGAGCTAAGATGAAATTCGACTATGACCATAGACACAAAGTGGTAGAGGGAAAGGAACTGTCACCCGGTGACCGCATTTGGATCCCCGATTTAAAAGAGGAAGGAACAGTGATTAAGCTACACGAGAGTCCAAGATCTGTAATCATACAGACCCAAAACGGACAAGTGAGAAGAAACCGCCGGATGACAAGAAGAGTTCTGGTGGGAAGTTCTCCGGTCCCACCCCAGAATGAAGACTATGAGAATCATGAGCCGATACCAACAAGAGAGAGGAACCCAGACGTATCCTCAGCTCCTGGAGCCAGCCAAGAAGACTATGTAGAACTACCTGTCCCTGGGGACCAACCAGCAGTGGACAAGCCCTTGCAGCCTGAACCGATGCTGACACGCCTTAGACCTAGAGGAGCTCTAAGAAGACCGGACAGACTTATCGAACAATGCTAAGATTAGTTTCACTTTAGGACACTGGAGAACAGCGTTGTCCTTATTGACATTTAGTTAACTTAAAAAAAAAAGGAAGATGTAGTAACATGAAGTACTAACTGACCGCTGACCGGCGGTAGCGCTGTCATTCGTGGGAGCTGTATGAATCTATCGTATTAAAGTATGTTGTGTTGATGCTGTCGTCTCTGTACCTCTTCGGACTCAACATTGGTCTCCTTAAATGGGAGTTCCCCTGGGCAGTTATTCAGACAACCAATAAAATCTTGAGTGCCATTGATAAAAGGAAGCTAACCCCCATCGTCCTTCTCGACATGAGCAAAGCTTTTGACAGTATTAACCATCGAATACTCTTGGCGGAGAAATTACAGGATGTCGGAAGCTCCTATCAGTAATTGAATGTTTCCGGAGCTACTTGAATTAACACAAACTTGTCGGACAAGCTACCTGTCACTTCTGGCGTGCCACAGGGGAGCGTCCTGGGTCCATTACTCTTTAGCATCTATAATAATGACCTCCCTTCGATTCCCGAAAATTGTTCCCCACAATGTGATGTTGATAACACCAAACTTCTCACGTCCTTTCAACTCCAGGATAAAGACGAGGCGTTGACCAGGACAAATTGGTGTTATTAGTCATATTTGGCAGCAGGCAAATGACTGCCAATGGTGGAACTGGAACCCGTTAAAGCTGCAAGAGACCTTGGTGTGATACTGGACACTAAATAAATGTAAAATTTATAGAGCATATTGGCTCTACTGTGTCTTCATGTACTGTGTCACGATACAAGAATACACTTATGGAATCTATTTAGCTTTCTTTCCTCAAATTCCCTTAGGTTCTGTTTAAACGGATCCGACATGTCACTCCATCTCCACTCCGCACATCTATTGCTGGATCCTTTTGAATCACCCAAAGTTTTATTTCATCCAACATTTCCGGGTCGACGTGAAGAGAAATGGGGCTCATTTCGGGTCGGCATCATTTCGGGGTCGATTTGGGGATCATTTCGGGGTCGGCATCATTCCGGGGTCGATTTGGGGATCATTTCAGGGTTGGGGATCATTTCGGGGTCGGGATCATTTCGGGGGTTGTACAGTACACACGTTCTAAAACAAAGCAGTCGATTAAAGTAACTACACAAGGCACTCACAGTCACGTGTCAGTTTTTGCTCTTTACTTTTTTTACCTTTTTTTTTTTTGGCCAGGTAATCACTCTTAAATAAGAATTCCTATAAATGATATACTCCTGAATCAAGACTGATAACAAGGCAACTCAACTGTATAGACCATTCTTGGATTCACAAGTACAAGAAAATAGCTCAACAACACAGTCAACCATCTAGCTACAAAGCTCTTATAGGACACCTCCATACCATCCAACCAACCTAGATTGCCTTCCTTGAGTCACTTTTTTGACTCTATATAAGATGGACCCCTCCCTACACCTCTGGGAAACAATGAGTGGTTCGGTAGGGCAGTTCTGACTTTTGTATCCACCCCGAGAGCCGGTCTCAACACAGTCCGTTTAATTTAGAGTGACGTAACTCTACTGCCTGGTTCAGACGCCGAGTGGACCTTTTCATGAGCCGAACTTTATTCGAATTAAGGCCGACCCAAATTATTTACACAGGCTGAATTGATTCACACGCCGATCTTAATTCCAGCTGAACTAAATTCAAAGGGAGAAAAATTTTCATTTCGGTTATTAAAACTGCTTACAGTGTAAGTTATAATAATTTACGCCGTTGGTTCGGTACATGAAAAGTTCGGCGTCTGAATCAAAGCCCTTCCAAAGCTGAAACAGAGGTGACAGTACTTAGTAACATTGCTTGAATAGTCAAACAATCGCAAGAGACTCAATTATTTTTAAAATGGCATGAAAGCCTCCCTGTGCAAGGTTTCTTTATCCAAGATATCCAATAGAAACAGAAAGTGAAAAATTTCTTGATTGCAGTTACTTCTTTGTACACATAGAATCATTAACTTTACATCTTCTTCTGAAAGGAAAGTGGCTTAATACAAGCTTGTCTTTTTCATGATACGAAGGAATTCGGCTTCATTGATTTCGCCGTCCCCATCTCTATCTGCCTCATCGATCATTTCCTAAAAGGCAAAAGGAGTGTAATAAGGTATAATAAAATATAAGATCATAAGTTTTATTTTTATGTTATGTTCATCACCCACCGAGGCCACAGGTAACCCAGGCGCGGCGTATGTATCACAGTACAGTACTGAAAATTACAGTGTTTGTAAGAGATGAGGTTCCGATCAGAGCGTTTTTACGAAATACCGAATAAATGTCCACGAAACTTATCCAGCAGTTAGTTGTCAGCTACAGTTTCTCCCATCCAGAAAATGAAACACACAAGGTACGTCAACCTCAGCTGGCATGCTTCGCTCTCTACTACGAAATTTTCTTTATTTCTTCACTCCAAACAAAGGTAAATAAAAACGCCAAGCACGTAGAAACAGGACTGCACAAAATAAAAACCCATAAAGCTTCCCCAGCTAGAAAAACGAATCTAGCAGACTCCAGACCTCTTTTTTTCATATTAACAGATTACACTGCAGCTAAACTCAAGAAAAAGGTATAGATACTCGCAGAGAACCTCAAGATCAAAGTGACTCCTCCCTTGATTCGGGGTTTTCGGTAGTTAGTTTAGAAAACAATGTCATGACTATAATGAATCAACTGCAACAAATGTCACCAGTTTCAGCAGTATTACATGCTAACACTTCTGCCAAGCTGCCATGTTCCATCCATGTTTAAATTAACACGGGAACACGGGGGGAGGGGGGCTGCTGGGTTAGACACCAAATGACGTCTTGTAGAAAACTTTGTGGCAGCTCTCCTAACCCTTAAAGCCAATTGGTTCGATACCCTAACACGTACAATGCATTTCACTATCATTATCTCACCTGTAATTCTTCATCTGTTAAATTTTCACCGAGTTCTTTAGCGACTCTCTTGAGATTTTTAAATGAAATTTTCCCCTGTGAGCAGAACATATCATGACATCATTGTACATTACACAAGTAATATGACGACAAAAATAAGACATGCAAGTGGGTTTGCGAACATTCAGAAGACTATTCTTCATGGACATACAACAGTGGAGGGTTTCAGAAAGTCAAAATTTTAAACAGCTTACCCATCAAAACCCGAAAAAGCACGGTATCACTGAATCTAAACTTACAGGTCAATTTATGGCATTTTCACTACTTGTCCAGTCCTGGAATGACTTCTCTATGACAATGTAAACTATGGTTTCATTTGCGCCAACACGAACACAACTTGTAACTTTGCACCTGCACCCTCACCTATCACATAGTCTTGATGATTGTTGGGGAGACAGACCTTGCAACCCTTCCCCTCCTTACACTGTTCCTTGCAGGATTGTCTGGGCAAGCCCTGCTGATCTTTCTACATACCCAAACCACTTCAACTTACATTTCTTTACCGTTGTTAAGGTATTATTATGGGACCCAATGGCTTGCCTGATTTTGTATGTGACTGCATCGTTAGTGATGTGGTTTTTGTATGAGATGCCAACAGTTTCCAAAGCATCTCATCTCCGTGGCCTGCAGTTTCTTCTGGATGTTCGCGATCAATGACCAGGTTTCGCAGGCGTACAAGAATGCCGAGACAATCAGGGAGCCCATGAGTCTCCATGAGTCTGATCTTTGAGCTAAGGGAGATATTCTTATCATTCCAGATCACTCATATGGTCTTCAGTTTCGATAGAGCTGCCGTCATTTGTGCAATTCTGGACAGTACTTTAGGCTTAGAACCTTGATCTGTGATGACTGTGCCCACACACTTAAAACTGTCCATTTTGTCCAGTTTTTTGCCGTTGACTCTGATGTCAACGCTTACGCCATTTTTTATTCGTGATCAGTTTGGTCTTCTTTCCAGGCGATCCACCAGAGAGGCTAGCCTCTCCTCTTTTCACGCCAAGCCATAAATGTCATCAGCAAAATATAAGTTGGTGATTGTTCTGCCCCGATACTGACTGTTCCTCCATTGGGTCAGTCATAATTCTCTCCAGAAAAATGTCCAAGAAAGTTGGTGAGAGAAGACAGCCTTGTCTGACTCCGATGGTCGTTCGTCGTAAAGGAAGACTTCACTGATGGCTTTGTTATTGGGCTGCCTGTGGCACAGCCCAATTAGAAAATGAGTTTTCTCGTGAAAAAAGACAAAATGGCGGAATGACCACCCAGAAGGCATTGCTACTCCCTACAATAGGGTGGCCGCTCGTTTGACTTTCATCGGGAGAGGATGGGTCATTTCCAAAGGGGAAAAATTCTGAAAAAAAATTCGCTAGACATCCACGAAAATTCTTTTGGCTTTTGCTCCCTCATCATCCCTGTGAATTTCACTCGGGATTACCCATGTCTTTTTTCTTCAGTTTTCTTCTTTCGGCGTACCTTTTGCCCGTTCTGCTATCCCATGTCTTTTCTTCTTCAGTTGTCTTTGTTCGTTGCACCTTTTGCCCGTTCTTCTATCCCATGCCTTTTTCACTTCAGTTCTCTTCGTTCGTTGTACCTTTTGTTCGTTCTTCCATCCCATGTCTTTTCTTCTTCAGTCCTCTTCGTTCGTCGTACCTTTTGCCCGTTCTGCTATTCCATGTCTTTTTCTCTTCAGTTCTCCTCGTTCGTTGCACCTTTTGCCCGTTCTTCTATCCCATGTCTTTTCTTCTTCAGTCCTCTTCGTTCGTTGTACCTTTTGCCCGTTCTTCTATCCCATGTCTTTTCTTCTTCAGTTGTCTTCGTTCGTTGTACCTTTTGCCCGTTCTTCTATCCCATGTCTTTTTCACTTCAGTTCTCTTCGTTCGTCAAATACGCTCAACACGTCAGCTGTGACTCAAGATTTTTTAACTGCTCTGCGTTTGCCAAGGATCTCGCTGGCTGTTTCAGTCACTGCTGCGATGAAAGTGTTAATTGGTGTATCCACTTCTATGTTATCTACATCGAGCGTGGTGGGCGATGCTAATCCTCCTCCAATCATTACTTGGAAGGCTACTACATCTTCCAGGTCTTTAAGCACACATCTTTATCTTGTTTAGGTGGAGCCGAAAGGTCATCATTACTAAATCATGGTCGCTTCTTAACTTAGGGGGAGATAAATCAATGAAGAGTTCAGGTGGCTAAGTATTACTTACAGTATCATTATTTAGTGTAACAAAATTGTGGTGGAGAAAGTGCCTACCGTGTTATCATCATCAAATAACTTGAAAGCTTTTAGAATTTCCTCTTTAGAATCCTTTTCACTCTAAAGGAATGAATAAAAGCTAACAATGTAATTGTAGTTATTCTACTAAAATAGAAACTAACCGCTTTTATAAACTATGCAAATCCCTAATATCAAATTTTACAATGTAAACTATTAAAAGGAAACTCACATCCAAGTACTGTATATCACATTACACGTATGTCACACTCACCATCTTTGCTGTCATCATTTGAAGAAACTCATTGAAGTCAATGGTACCTAAGAAACAAGAAAGAGGTACCGTTAAATACAAGATACAGTTTTGTAAAAGTATTTACCAGTCCTGTTAAGTCTTCATACCGACATGTAAACAGCCATAGCAAACAATGTACAGTTTAATTGCATAATGAAGAATACAGAACAAAAACGCTGTTTCAGTTCAAAAGTGTATGGATGAAGAGTTAACCTTTTAACCTCGTGACCACATTATTACACGATTGTTAGTTTTGTCCCCCTTACTTTCAAATCTGTGGATGAATTTTCTTTGGCGTTACCATTCAAACGAAACCGGTCTTTCGAAGAACTTTAGTTTTGTTAGTATTTTTTAAAAAAGAAAAGACTTTTTTGGAGATTTTGTTGTGGTCACTATTAGGAGTAAAAGGGGAAAAGGTGAGCGACTTTGTTACAGATTTCAATAATGAGACCGGAGACTCACATCAAGACTCATATCATGAACAGATGGGAGTCTCGGCCTGGTTTGAATCAGCACTTGCGGAGTCCAAGAGTCCCAAAGCAAAAACCAATAATTTGATGGGAGTTTGCATAAAGATATTTTTGTTCATTATTTGTTCAAAAATTGCTTCCGGGCTTTTCTCTCTTGACTTACTGTACATGTAAGATAGGTTTTATTACAGATGTATTCTTCAAAATTATCTCCAGAACGATCGATCGATCTGTGCGTCCTACAGGATGCATTCTGTTGATTACTTTCACTGTGTCTTTTGCGATTTTATCCTCTAGGATGCTGGATGCGGAGGTAACAAAATCACCCAAGTAAAAACCGCTGTAGTTTATACAACTTAATAATAGTAATTATACTCTGGCTTTTGGCCTGAAGAGCATTCTTGCTTTTCATTGGCCTCCATCAAGGAGCACTGTCGGTATAATTTATTTATAAGCTGTAATAATTTTTATACATACTGCCTTATGACATACCTGAACCATCTTTGTCGATATCTGAAATCATTTTCTTGATTTCTTCTTTCTTGGGCTCAAAACCCAAAGCTCGCATAGCCACCTGAAAATAAAATCATGTTTGTGATATCTTTAGTCTTCATGACTGCTTACTTCAATGTACTCTACATTGTAATAAAGTATGCTACATGTGAGGGGACTGAACTGTTTCTACAACATTCCAGCTACCATCTCTCTAAAATGTCCTTCAGTTCAGGCGTCTACATGTATGATTACGTTATTAAACGTAACGTTATTTATATAATAGATAAACTGCAAGCACCAGTAAATGAAAGGAACAATTATTTTTAGACTGCTAGTAGTCCCTCAAACAACTGACGGAATTATGTGGCAAAGGACACAGCAAGCGAAGGAGGGGCTACATTTTCTGTTACTGATGTGTGCACATCCTTGAAACCTTGCTCACCAAATATGGGAGCCACTCAACACACTTCAAACAAATACATTGTAGCTCTACATTTGTTTCCCTCTATATTTTGTAACTTCTCTGTAGTGTCACTCATGCAAATATGCTTGCAATATAGTACAAAAGTACATTATATATTTGCATACTCAAAAAACTACATATTACCGATAATTCTTTAGTACAAAGGGAAATCAAAATGCTGAAGTTGGACAAAAACAAAGAATGGACAAAGGATCTCAAGCAAACATGTACATGAAGCTTTAAAACACCTGTCATAGCCACTCATGCCAGTACGCAAGCCAAAACACATTTTACACACAGCAGTGTTTTACTCACTACCCTGTCTCCAGAGAAAATAAATATCTAAGATGAAATGAACCATGTCCACGGTTTTAAGAAAACTCAACAGAATGTTGCCACCTCCTTGTATCACCTTTGCCATGAGAGAGGAGAAAAACATCAGGGTTTGCAAACACTAATTTCCATTGCTCCTTCAAAATCAGAATGCTGAGGTGATCAGATATTAAGCTTTCCTCATCATACAAGTAACTAATTGGCATCTGACTTCCCACAAATTTTGCTTGTTCAAGCATTTGCATCCTTGTCTTTATATGTATACGTCAAGTAGTTTATGACTCAGTCTGTAGTTCAATGTTTGTGCCCATAGAGTACATAGCACAAATAGTTGCCTGATAGGAAAATGTATGTCTTGTCTTGCATGACTGGAAAGGACTTCTTACAGGCCCTCTTCAAATGTTTAAGTCTAATATTTGCTGGAATTTGTTGTTAGATTCCTACTATCTGCTTAATTTTCCTTGAGTGCCCCTATAAATTAATAAGGTCAGTGAGCTAACAAGATAGTTGTGTTTACCTTGAGTTCTTTTGCGTCGATTGTACCTGAGCCATCAGTATCAAACAGGTCAAATGCTTCTCTGATTTCTTGCTTCTGTTCCTCTGTTAACTCTGGTTTTGGACCTGATTTGAAGCAAATAATAATCAATAGATCATTTTCACTGTCACGCAACAAAAAAATAAATTGGAAACTGTCCAGTGGAAGAGGCCAAGAAAACGAAATGTTATAAAAGACTAATATATAAACAATTTGTTCAAGTCTCAGGTCTTTGTGGCCCACAGTTTCTGAGTTATTTGCCGAAACGTTTCACACTCCTTTGTAGAGCTTTGTATGGAGACGCCATATTGGTGCACCAATATGGCTGCAGGGAATCAACAAAAACATCTGGAGTTCACTTTTTCTATAATAGCTTTTTCTTTTCACTCGAGAACTAGCATACATGCACACAAACATATCTTCTTATACTTGAAATGGTTATACTGCTGAAAAGTACTGAGGAGAGACTTCATTTCAACATGCCAGCATTCCAATCTTGGTGTCACACACTGTGAAAACTCAGAACTTCAAATTGCTGTATTTTCGAAATGAAACACGCTACGGGACAAGATTTATTTTTTTACCTTCAACCTAGTGTAAATAAGAATCCGTAAAACGTTACTATTTTCACTTTACAATTTGATGACGTCACTGTGAAAACCATATATAAAGATAAATGCAGACAATAGGCCCCTTACAGCACTGTTCAAAACTTAGAGTTTTATGTTATGTTTACAGACTGTTACAGGTCATTCTCACCTTAACTTTCACAACTTATTACTTGTGAAAATATAGGCAACAGTAAATATACATAACCAAGAATCCATGAGACCCAAGACACAAAACCCAATAAATGCAAGGTTGTTTGAGTTGAAAGTCCAACCTTTAAGTGTCCAAATTTTAAGGTGTTCCCAAATTAACTTTTTTTGCAAAATTAAATGAATTACCCCACAGAAAGGGAAAAGCCTGAAGCAGATGTTTTTATCGGTCAAACTGCCTTTTTAACTACATATAGTAAGCTGTAGAGAGCTGGCCTTGGTTGTTTAAATGCTGGATAGCACTATCCACCGGATAAGTATTACTGATACCAAATGCGTTATCTACTGGATAGATTCTTAGCCCATGGATAGTGCTATCTAATGTTTGAACAACCAGGGCCTGAATATTAAAAAACCTTTCTGTTTCCTTTGTCCTGTTGAGAGTGCTCCTTTTCTGTATGACGATGCCTTAAAAAAGAAAATGATAACAGTTAAAGCCCTTGAGGCTTTCTATAATGTGCATCTCTCAAGATCAATAATTATTTTTTGAGCATTTATCAGTTGTCTATAAGAACTTGCCCAAGAGACTGGGTATTTAATACAAGCCAAGGTGCTCCCTCTGCAAAAGGCAACAATTATTAAGATTCTTCACAAAAATTTAAGGACTTAAGACATTGACATAGCCTTTTAGATGTTGAGAAGGATCAACTTTACTGTAAAAACAAAATGTAAATGATGGTCATGACAGCCTCTTTTAATTACGTAATATTATGTATAAATAACTAACTAGAGATAACATTTAAATAAACACTGACAACATCAATAAGCTTGTCAAGACATACCATGGAGAAAAAACACAAACCACCAACAAAATTAATACAATTTGTGGTGGTGTTTAATTTTTAACTCTTTCTGTTTATGCCCTAGCAGAACCAGTGGTCCCTGGTGCCTAACGTTTGTTCCTGGGGGACTGGAAAATCTTATTTTTTCATAGAAATCATTTGCAGGGTACCCTGGATTTCACAGGTTTAGAGCACTGTGCTCCTTTCAATTCTTCATAGAACAAGGCCTGTATCATGCTGTGTGACACTTAATATTGTTGGGAATTCTTTAATTTGGTGCTTTTCCAACAATTGGAATAGACTAATTACAGCTGTATTTTTTCTGGCTCACAACTCAAATTAACACTCACAAAAAGCGCATCAGTGTTTTTTCAGAAGCTTTGGAAAAAAAAAATTAGCAATTATTTGCCAGTTAGCATTTCTCCAGTAAAAAATTGCTAAAGAAGATTAAGCTTTGTGGCAAAAAACAAAAGCTACAGGTGCATGCCAAATCAAATACTGTAGTACAAGAATCATGTCAACCACTGGTTTAATGCAGCACCTAAGCACATTTTAATTGCACTTTTGAACTGTACAGGTTAATTACAGAGAATGACTTCACGTTTTCACACAGCTTCTCACGCAGCTTCTTCATATGCCTTGAAATAAGGAGTATGCCAGTATTTTGACTTGCTCTCGACCTTGAAGACTAAAAATAGCCATGAATTTACTATTTTTGATCAAGAAAAGATTCTTACTAACAAAACTTTGCTGGAGGACTAAAAAATCTCATTCAAACCCTTTTGACCAAGTGAAATGCAATTTTTCAATTTCATACCTATCATGTTGTCTAATGTATAAGAAAAGTGTATTTACAATAAACATAGCAGACCCGGATGACTTCGAGAACTGGAAGGAGGGGAGCTAAGGGTAAATTACAAATTTTCCAAAGCATAACTATGTCTCTGTGTTTACGCCAATAGCATTCGACTTTAGTGAATGTGTTAATGCTTGAACATCCAGCAGCCAGCCGGCTCAATTTGTTGATGCAATAATTGCATTGAATTTTATGGGTATCCACTCAATAGAAAATAACTATAATTTAACAATTAATGAATGAGGCTGAGTATCTTATGAAGAATTATGGAGATTGAGGAAGGTGTTATCCATCAAGGCCGTAGGCCGAGGCAGATAACACCTTCCAAGATCTCCATAATTCTTCATATGATACGAAAGCCAAATTCAATAATTGTTTTATTATTCAGTCCAAACAATTCCTAGTTTAAAAACCTACAATCGGCGACAAAATGAGTTGAGACGCTTCGCCCAAAACTGGGCTTTTTTACATTTTATTAACTTCAAAAAGAGGAAATATAGCTTTCCTCCCCCATCCCCTCCGTGCAATGTTGTGCCCTTGTTCTAGCTACCTGTAGAAAACAACAAACACCCCAACTTTGAATGGAGGGGACAGGGGAGGGGTGCGGATTCTTTTGTTCTCCGAAATTACCCTATTTAAGTACAATGTCTCAACAATTTAGTCGCCCATTGTCTGAATCTCAAAAGTGGCCGTACGTCCTTTAGAAAGGTAATTGAATTCATTCATTTCTTTATGCTGGGATGTAAGACCCCTGGTGGCTTTTTATTTGTCATGTTCGACTTCATTATACCTATTTTAGAACAATTAGAATAAGGCGATTTCGTGTCACGCTTAACCATGCCTTGACATCGTGCAATGTGGCGCGTCGCTCACCATTTCTTATTCTCTCCTTTATGGAAACGCATCGAAACAAAGAACAAAGTGAAAAGGATAGGAAACTTAATAGATTTCTAGGCATTAAAGTAGTTATAATGGCTAAAATTGCTCTTTAGGAGGAATTTCAACGAGTAACCACAAGTAACCACGATGAGTATAAAAGAAAAATAATTTAATTATCTTTTAAGAACAAAGTTGGTTACTCGTGGTTACTCGTGGCCAGTCCCCTCCTGACCTGATAGTTTCTACAATAAAGTACATTCTTCAAAGACTCTTATGGGTATATGGGCAACGAAACTGCTGCACAGATTTAGCGATGCTATGCAGCTTTGCTGTGTGTTAGAAGTTGGAACATTTTTCCTGAAAATTCTCCTGCGCATAGCAATCATGGCTATTTTATCGTCCATCCCACCCTTATCAAATAGCCAAACTTTGAATAAACACTTCGAACTTACTAGGGATATATTCAGATACAATATATTACCTGTCATTGATTCCTACCGATCACACTTAGTTACCAGAGGAAAATCAATCATTCGGTACGTGGGTATGCTGCGTAATTACTTGAAAACTCTACCGAGTACAAAGATTGTCAAAACTAATTTTCCCTCAAAAAACACAGGTAAGGGATTATATGGGTATCTTAACTATCTTCTGAAAAACGACCCGGTGTATATAGCAATTTCAACTAGTTACCGTCTCCTAACCAGTGCTAATAAGACAACAGCGCGTAGATTTCGATTCAGACAATCGGTGACAAAATGAGATGAGACGCTTCACCCAAAACTGGGCTTTTTTACGTTTTATTAACTTCAAAAGGAGGAAATATAGCTTTCCTCCCCCATCCCCTCCGTGCAATGTTGTGCCCTTGTTCTAGCTACCTGTAGAAAACAACAAACACCCCAACTTTGAATGGAGGGGACAGGGGAGGGGTGCGGATTCTTTTGTTCTCCGAAATTACCCTATTTAAGTACAATGTCTCAACAATTTTGTCGCCGATTGTAGCTAAAACATGCTTACCTCCATCGATGTTAACTTCATCTTCAATAGTGCATTTTTAGGGTTGTTCAGCTCCGCATATATTCTCCAAATAGCAGATGTTGCCCTTCGAGTTGTCTTCCCACTGTTCTTGCCATGTTTTTAGCTATTATTTCGCCTACATGTAGTTCTTATACTCTTGAAACAAGTGAAATGTCTGCCATTTTTGTTTTCACAACCAAAATAAACTCAACCTCGTCCCCAGGTCTTCCTGGTTAACGGTGCATTAACCTGCAAGGAAGCTGCACTTTTGACGTCATCGGTTGATTACTCATATAATTCTTCCAAATTTGGTCATCAGTAGCTGGTTATGGTGAATTATGCGTGCGCTTTTAGCCAATCAGAATCGGGGAAATATTTTGAATGAATAATAATACACATTAATCTTCTTAGTGACATTTAAAAGCTTCTTGAGTCAACCAGCTTTTCTTTATCATTATAAATAATTGTCAACTTAATCCAAGAAAAGTTTCAGTTTCAGCAGGTATGATAAGTCTTTCATTTTTAAGTTAATACTGGTTAACAATACAACATCACTGTAATGCTGAATTAAATTTACAAGGTGTATCTCGTTCATAACTTAGCAATTCAGTTCAAACCTACAGGTGTAAAGACCCGTCCACATGTACACCTATCTGGATATTTTTGAATCTGCAACTTTTTCTTTCTGGATATGGCTTCCATCTACATGTATCCAGTGAATCCAGCATACAAATCCACAACTTTTTGAATCTGCTCTCCAGAGTGGAAATTTTTGAACTATGAATTCAGGATCATGTGGACCCTAAGTAAGGATATTTTTTCATCCAGTAAGTCGTAACAAGATCAAGCCCAGTTCTTCTTTACCATGGATGGTAACCTTGTTCCCAGGAGCTCTCAAGGCAGAGCAAGATGTAAATTTTACGCACCTTACAACACATGCTCTGTTGCCAATATTCCCAAAGGAAACCTGGTTACTAGAGTGAATCCGGATACAATGTCATGTTGGATATGTGTGGACAGGCAAATTTGATTCGAATACGGAAAAATGAGGGTGCCAATAACGTTAACTGCTTAACAAATAATTGCCTTTTTTCACTAACGTAAAAGTATAAATTACAAAATATTAACTGACAAGCATATAAAAACAGGTAATCTTTTAAGCATATACAGAGCGAAGTAGACCAAAAAGTTAGAAATTGATTCAAAAAAATTAACACTCCTGAAATAAAAAGACGATATGGTGAGATACATGTAGGATGATAGAGATGTACTTGTTAATCTTCCTCACACTTAAGTCTTTCCACTGGCGTATATGCAAAACACCACCCCACAAACGATTTTAACGTCTGCAGGACACATAACCATGCCGATTAACTAACTAAACTTTTTTTTGGTGTTTACTGACTAACTACCATATTTTTAGCTGTTTACTGACTACAGCTATACCCCATTGACACCCTCATAAATGTGGACATGGAAATTTTTGGGTCCAGAAAGAAAAAAACTGTGGATTAAAAAATATCTGGATCTACGTGTGGACAGGGCCAAAAACATTGTTTCTACCAGGGTGGGGTAAGCTGTAACCAAAAAAACTATAACCCCACTAATTGCCATTATTATACATTGTACACACTATTCACCATGGCTAAGATCCTACAGTTAATTTTGGAAATCAGTGCAGCTTAGTTATCTGTAGGTTGAGCACACAATGCATGATTTCTAAGAGCAATGTCAAATCGGTTCCGTGCAATGGTGTATTTGTTGTTATTTATTTCAGAATTATGTATAGAACAATAATGAGATTCAGTTTTTGTGATACCTAGAATAATCGAGGTCTTGATTGGTTATAATTTAATGATAACAGAGAATCCTGCATGTATTCACATGCAGCTCCATTTTGCCTCCAATCATCACCCAGTGTGTTTATTCAGCTAAACAAGAGTAAAAATTCAATCGAAATGCAATTTTCAAATAGCTAATAGCCACGGTTAACATTATTTCCAGAACAAAGGCAAAATTAGGCTTCTTAAGAATAAAAGTAGCAAACATATATAGATGTTTACGCTTGCAAAAACGCGGGCAACATTCTGATTAATGTTCAACAACATACAAAACGTTTTATTTGCAATCTGTTTTTAAGAAAGAATGCTATAGCATAGCTTTTTTTCCCGCCGCAAATTCAGTGATAACAATAGCGACGCTTCACTTCTATGCAGCAACACAAGAATTCCACTAACAAAGCAGCTTTAAAAGTACGCAACAAAATTTATGTCTTTTAAACATCGGCTGAACCATGATTCGAATCATCTTCAATGCGTTTGTTGTAACTAGGGATCACATCTGTACAAGCAGATTACTGGTTCAATTTTTATAATTCCCGGTGTTTACTTGTGCTAACGATCACACTAGACTCATGCCATCAACATCAAACCAGCTTTTGTTTGCAAGTTTGGACAAAATTCCCTCTACAACCTAGTCGAGATTTGAGCCCAACAGATAGGTAAGACACTTACCATTTCTTAGGTGCTATAGATACCGCAGAGAGATTCTGATACTTCTGGAGATAGCAATGGAAAATCGGTTTGACAACAAAGTTCTGTTTGTTTTACGCGGTGAACAAGTCCAGGGAGGATCCTATTGCATTATGGGTTTTCCCGCCTTGCGCGCGAGGACTAAGCGTGAACTGGCGGCCAGCGTTTAAGGCCAGCGCGTTCCTGTTTTTCACCGACCTCCTCGATGGTCCAGTCCTCAAAAATCTCGGAATGAATAAATCGCAACACCTTCCGGGTTTATTCGACTCATTTTCTTTTTGACTTCCCAGCAAATTCAGGAGCAAATTAGGTTCTACGTTGTGGGTGTATTATCGAAGAAGCTGTTTTAACTGAAACAGTCTCAAAATATACTAATCTAGCTAGTGCCGATTGGCTGTTGATTATGATTTCATTTTATAATATGGAAATGTACGAATGAAACGGACGACAATAAAAAATAAGTAAATAATAAATCTTTATTTAAGCATCAGAACAATGAGTAATATTTACAATTTTATCATCGTATCCGGTTTACAAATTAAAAACCAGTTAAAAACTTAATAATTGCCTTAAAAACAAATGATAATTAACCGAAAGCTAGGCCTCTTCTAGAATTCTTTGGATTCTTTTTGCTTATTTGTTGGCACCGGTATATTGTTTTTAAGGCCGAAATCTGTGAAGAATGAATGTACTAGAGAAATCCTTTCTGCCTTTTTTGTCAGCCAGAGATCTGAATTAACGAGGGCGTGTCCTTCCGTCCAACGTGCGGAGGCCTTATGGAAATTCCATTTTGACAAGCGAAGAGAAGGGCAGATAAGTATATATAATATTATAGAACGTTAAGTTGTTTTTACAACTGAAGACAAAAAAACCTGTGTGCTCTGGAACAAAAACTAAATGGAATAGTTGGCGGAATAAGTTAAAAAGTCTCTTTTATTACAGTTTTATCTGGGCTGTTACTAAAAACTACCGTGACTAATGGTCAAAAATTAACCGTTTAGGCAACTAAAAAGAATATGAATATAATTCTCATTTTTTATTGACTATTCCAAATTGAATTTTTAAAGTCACCGCATTGATTTTCCTTTTCATGATATCATCACTGACTACTGTGTTTGTTGATTTCCTAGATTGCCGGTACTAGTGACGCTCGTTTCGTAAGGGTGCATGATGATATGCGAAATTAAAAAACTGTTTGAAAAAGCGAAAAAGCCGAAACAAATGATGCATAGTGTGAAAAGTCAGGAAAATATGTATTCCAGTCCATAACCGTGAATGTTCCAAGCGCCTGCTACGCAGGCTACATTCTTTGCTGTTGCGAAACTTCAAATCTTTAGCCCCATAGTCTATTTTTTAAACACACCTTCGGATTATCAGAAAGTCACTGTCCACGCGAGTTATGGGCTGGTGCTGACTGCTGTTTTTCACTGAACTGAAATATTCGTATGCTGAGTACTGTAGTTACACGGTAAAAACAAACCGAGGTAACTGGACTGAATAAATTCCCCGCAGCAAAAAGACGCAGGGAGAAATAGTAGCTGACATAGTCATCGACACGGCAAAAGATTGTTGTCCCTAAAAATTCCCCTCCCCCTCCTACCCCTACTCAAAAAAAAAATAGTCCTATGAGTAAACTCGTGAACTGACTCGTTTTTCCTTGAATGGTTTTTAATTGACAGCCTTTATCATTTAAGTATAGGGCATTCATTCCCTTAAAAATCCCTATCCAGCCAACCTAACGGAGTATGCCCTACGTTTCCGGTTCGAAAAAAGAGTGTTAGTAGTTATTCAGACTGGTAGGCAGCCTAAATGGCTCTAGTCGACTGACTATGCACCTACAGTAGCTCCCCGTTCGACAAGTTTTTTAACAGAAATACCTCCCTAAATGGACTAAGAGACTTGACCTAGAAAAAAAAAACAACTAAAACGAAACGTGCACACAGTCAGTTATGGGGTGATCTTTGTAAACTTTTGAGCATTCGAAGCCTCTAGCTAGCTTACCGGTGTCAGTGTGTTTATTGGCACTGCCAGTGACACCAGAGAAGCTGATTATGCAGATTCAACTCATCTGTTATCTTTAAGACGTATTGAGACTCTGAGTGCAGAGCCATTGAAACTCGAGAAGAAGGAGCGGTAAAAAATTGCTAAGAACACAGCAGCTCCTTCGTGCAAACGTCTCCTAAAAAAATTTTCCCGCTCTATTCTCCGTCATCTCCACGTCGAACTACTCCGCATAAACTACCGTTTAATCATTTAAGGCTGAATTTTTACTATAACCCATGTCAAACTTCAAGTGATCATGATCTCCTGGTATTTGTAGCCTGAGGCAAACTGAGTTCGCTCCCGGTCTCTATCTTTTTCCCTCCTCTGTAACATGCCCCCACTTCCGAGGATCCTGACTTGCTCGCAGGCTCAGAGTACTGTAGGGTAATTATATTCAGCTCCACTTCAGCAGCGTATCATGGTTCAGTAAGTACAGTATACAGGTAAAGATCAGTACGACTGTAAAGAATAAAATTACAATGCAGCAGACTAATACTGTACATAACGATTAGAAAGAATCCCGCAATCCGACAAGTGATTAAGTCACTTCCGGATTGGAGCTTTTGACATTGCCCTTGGTTAAGTTTGCGGCCGGAAAATCAAAACTTTATTTACTGCGAGATTAGTGGAAGAATAGACAGCCAACAACGGTTTATTTTTGGCTTTAATTTGGATCAAACACTGACGGGGTAGCTTTTTCACTGTCATCTTGAGCGGACAGATCGCTAAAACATGTGATTTTATTACCTGACTATAGTCTTCAAATGTGGTCTTTTTCGTGATCGAATTCAAATGCTACCTGAAAAAGTGACATGTAAATTACGAGAACGCAAATAGATGCAAGAAACAATTATCGGAAGTTCCAGAGGGCTTGCTCAAACAAATCTCGAGAACACTGCGAAACAGATGACCCCCGACGAAAGAACCAGGAAAAAGAACACTTGCTGATTCATTCAGCGTTTGTTTCAAACGGATACACGATCAGTTTATTGTTGTTGTTCTTATGAGAGCATCAATAAAAATCTATGTACTTTTAAAGGAAATCGGGCCACAGTTCTGAGGCTGAGTGGCACAAAAGTGCATTTTATAAGGTGCTGAAAACACTTAAGATTTTTCTTGGACCTTCAGATATTTGGACTATTATAGTCTGTGAACCCCGAGAGAACTTGCTATAACAAGCGAGGACTAACACATGCCTCGTATAGAGTAGAATTTACAACAGAATTTTAGACTCGACAGGAAAAAAAACCTCCCTGGCAGTCTCTGAGAAAGTCACGAGCAGGAGTCTAGATGGAAGTCCTATTAAAGGGCTTTGTCTGGACCTTGGCTTACACGGCTAAGTGCCATCAAGATGACATAAAAACCCGTTTCATATAAACAAGGTAAATCGCATATCGTCAAAGCCGAGACTATTTTAACTCAACTCCCCTCCCCCTCCCTCCATCCACAGTGTGTTTGCTGTTGCGTATTTCCGTTGCTTTCCAGTGCGAATAAACAAAATGGAGTAAATTATCAAAGTGTCCAAATCAGTGATTGTATTATGAGCGCTGGTGAGACAGCGACTAATTTACTCGGGAAATTGCATGAAATTGGATTTTAATCTTTGGTCTTTGAGTCCACAAGCTCCTTTTTTTGTCTGTTCGAGTGCAAATATTTGCCTTTCCCTGCCCGCCGAAAATGATACTGACGCGGTTTCCTTTGTGAGCCGGTATTAATATTCAGAGAGAGTTAAATATCATATTTAGTATGATCCAGTTGGTGAAAAAGCTCGATTATCAAACGGCTCTTGAGTAAAAAAAGATAAAATTAAAAAAGTGATATAATTCGAGTTTTGTCCAAGTCATTGTCACGTCAGGAGCAATGTGCTAATTGACTTAATTTGCGCCAGCAAAGAGATTTTTTACAATAACTGTTGTGACAGGATGTGCTGATATATCGCTTGCGACGCATTTCAACAGAAATCTGTCAACACTCATGATATATTGGGAACCCACGTCTCCTTGGGGGTGATTCCCTAGTCTGCAGGCAATAGTTTCTAATCTGTATGGATTGATCATTAGCAGCGTTGTCAAAAAAAGCTAAGAGAGGAATTGGTTCCTTTAAATGTTCTCCTGGATCGCTCAGCTTTCGCTCAGCGTTGCTTGAGGTAAGTGCGTGTGAAAGTATTGTTTGTTTAAAAGAAACTCTGACAGGGCAAAGCTCGCGGACGAATGCCGATCTCAAGAGTAAAGTCATGGACAAAACCATACGTACGCCAAGTCGTTTATGGTCCATCGCTCGGCTACAATTGAAAAAATCCCTGTTGTTTTCAACTATAATCTTTGCCACAGATTTGCTCCTTTCCTGTTCAATTGAAAGGTTCTTTCTATTGAGACATCCATTGTTCTTTAAAAAGAGCATAACATAAAGTACATCTTAATTTTAACAATAAACGGGAAGCCAGCACATGTCCGGTCAATACCACGTTGTATTTCATTTTCCCTAGGGCCATTTGAAATTCCCATTATTGTTCATTTGAACAATAAGCTGTAGACTGTGAAATATGTTGTGGTTGACAAACGAAAACAGCAATGCTTGAGAAGCGACGCTCGATCCGCTTATGAATCAGCGCCATTCATAGCGTTTGTGTTTTTGCATTTGCATAAATTTTATCAAGTCTCTGAGTCACTGTACGTACGGTCGGTAATCTAAACTCATATCCGGTAAGGGAGGGCGTCATTTCGCCAAGGAACACAATCAAGGATCCCATGAAGTTTGCGGTTGAAAGTGAAATTTGTTAAGGTATCTTGATATCCAAGCTTTACTCTACCTTAATGTTTTCCTAAATACTATTTAATAATCGTTTGTAATCACATAAGTAGTAGATGGTCATGGGTTGATAAGTGAACGATGATATGACTTAAGGTCTCCTCACGGCATAGATACAGTGCAGATAAGGTAGCAATGAGTCTATTAAACGTTCAAATCAGCGATTTAAGACACACACAGAAGACAGCAGTTGTTCGTTAAATATCGCTGTTAC